TTCTTATCGTCCAGGACTTTAAGGAACAGTACTCTAGAAAATTTAAGGTTATGCTACCATCAGCATTTCCTTTTTTTTCTTGTTTCATTTTACTCTTCCTCCTCCACCTTGTTGTTATTATAGTGTCTCTTTCTCTCTCTCTCTCTCTCTCTCCCTCTCTCTCTCTCTCTCTCTCTCTCTCTCTCTCTTCTCTCTCTGTCTGTAGAACAACTGGGGAAGTTTGTTTCATTCTTCCACTATGTGGGTCCTGAGTGTGGAGCTCAGGTCATCAAGCTTAGTGGCAAGCACCTTTACCTACTAACCCATATCATCAGCCTCACTATATTATTTTCTTACAAATAGAGAGAGAGAGAGAGAGAGAGAGAGAGAGAGAGAGAGAGAGAGAAAGATCTTCTTTTCCAGACTGTGAGCTGTTTAAACACAAGGATTGCTTTATTCATTTTGTAGCCTACAATAGTGGACTGTTTAATATGATAGAGATAATATTACACACAATGTATTATGTGCATATAATCCATATGTACTTTAATTTCATTAGTAACTATTAAAATGACATGATAAGACAGATAAAATATACAGGATGTAAGGGATAGGTAAGAAGAAAATGAGAGGAAACATAAAGAGAAGGAAAGAGATTGACAGTGTTGACAAGCATTTATGTTGACGTCTGAGATAGAGATTGGCAGTACACATTGAAAAAAATTAGGACAGGCAGTAAAAGAGAGAATGCACTTGTTCTCTTTAATATTGAGAACTGCCATGTTGATCATACATACACACACACACACACACACACACACACACACACGTTTCAGTTTATGCTGCTATTAGCCCTAATGTTAAAGAGGTACACTTTCCAATCTCTTAGGAAGTACATAAAAATGAAGCAAAAAAAAGGTACTACTGTGAGCAGTAGAATATCAAAGGAAGGCTAGCCTGTTTGTTCTGAAAACTCTGTACTGTGTGCATTCATTCATTTTTGTAACTTCTGAATCTTTCATTGACAAATTAGATAGTACCAATTTTGACTAAATGCCTGAATTAGAAAATATTTTCAAAGAACACAATTACCATTTTACTTGCACTTTAAATCTTACACTCATTCTTTTAATGCAGTGCCCTTAAACTTGTTGACAGTTTGATTGAACTAAGCAGAATACACATGTTCATACAGATCATTTTCTTCTGGTAGTGGATTAGGTTGCAGGTTTTTTTTTTGTACTAGATGAAATTTCTTTTGTGTTTTCATAATCCTGAACTATCTTGCCAGCTCCACACAATATTTTTTAAAATTAAAAGGAAGAGGGAGGGAGAAATGTGCATATGCATGAAGATGTGGAGGGGTGGACAGTGGGTGCTTAGCTCCATCACTCTCTGCCCTATTACCTTGTGTTAGGATCTCTCACTGAATCTGGAGCTAGACTTATGGCCAGCAGCCCTAGGAATCTTGTGTCTCCGGTAGTACTAAGGTTACAGGTGTGCACAGCTACTATTCATGGCTTTGTTTATATGAGTGCTGAAAACTCACTCCTCTTACTCCCCTCCCCTTCCCTGGACAGGTTTTATCTGTGTAGCCCTGGCTGTTCTGGACTTGCACTCTAGACCAGGCTGACCTCGAACTCTGAAATCCATCTGACTCTGCCTCCTGAGATGCCTCCTCAGATGGATATTGGCCATTACCTGGCTCAGGTTCTCTTTTTTAAACATCAAGTGTTCTTATTTACTGAGCTCTTTTCCCCAGCCCCCTAAAAATTAAGATTTAAAATTTTTTTTCAACAATGGGACCAGGATTTATCCTGGGTGCGTGAACTGGTGTTTTGGAACTCATTCTCTAAGTTCATGCTCACTCTTGATACAGCGGGGAGGGCCTTAATCCTGTCTCAACTTTGTATGCCAGACTTTGTTGACTCCACAAGAGAGGCCTTTCCTCCTCTGAGGAGTTGATAGAAGGGTGGAATAGGAAGGATGTAAGGGGGGCAGGAGAAGGGGAGGGAGGGGGAATTGGGGTTGATATGTAAAATGAAACAAAAAATATTTTTTTTTTTTTTGCTAAAAGGTGATAAGCACATACCTATAAAGGTCACAGTTATTCAGGCTGAGATAGGAAAACCACTTGAGCTTAGGAAAAGAAAGACTTTGTTAATCTTTGATTGATTGATTGATATATCAACTGGATTTAGAGTGCTAGGGCTTATGTATAAAAATTTTAAGTGATTATGTGTGGCTTAAATCTGTTAATATTGAAGCAGCTTTGATTAATCATTTTAAGTCTATTTTCTTATTACAGCAAAGACTAACCTTTCTAGGTTTATGCAACATAAAGTGAGCATAAAGTAGGAAGTGATCTTATAGAATACATTTTATTTATTGAGCTGTGCTACTTGCTATTTACTTTGAAATATATAGGTAAATACAGACGTTGAAAATATTTTAATTGCTTTGAGTTTTAACTGGAATTCTTAATTTTCATATATTTATTCATCTGTTATGGAATAATATGACTGAAAATTAGCCTTTTTCTAGAGTCATACCACTTTATAGCCTCAGCAGATCTCAGTGAGTATATCGGCTGTAATGCCTTGTTTTCACACTGCCTAAGAATGGCAGTGAGAAGGGGGTGACAGAAAGAATACTGAGGTATATTGGATCATGGTATGTTAGTTAGTACTTGTACACTGTTTATTTTTAAAATAAAAGTAAACTCCAAGGAATTACTCATCAATGCCATCCTATTTTGTACATCTCTTTGGGTATGGCAGATTGGACTATGATTGTGGTCACCAGTGTATGTTCTTACAGCCATTATCATGTTGAAAATATCATTTTAACTTTTGATTGTCTGACACATGTATCACCAATTCTATTATAGGCAAAAACGAAACCCATTCAGTTTGAAGTTACTGAACAGTGGAAGTCATATGTGCCATCTATAAGCAGTTGTAATGATTCAACAGTTAGTTAACCCTTGGAATATAGCCTTCTGGTTGAATTAATACCTCATTCCACAGAGAAAGTGAAGTCTGTTTCTGCTTCTTTAATGTCTTCTTAAATGCTAAGGTGCACTCAGGAGAATGATAAATTATTCAGTGATACAACCCCAAGAAATGCTGAATGGTCTCAGTCAGGCAGGCACGTTCTGTCTTTGTTGGTTTCTCTTCAGTTTTAATCAGCTTTGCTGTCATAATTTTAAGTTATCAGAGGGCTTATTATCACCTGAAGTTTTAAAAAATTGACTAGAAACACTCCAGATTTGGAGGCAGTGCTGTGTTGTGTGTGGGAACCTGAGAATCAGAATAGTTGTAACCCTCTGAGACTTTTGAAAAGTTTCTTCTGTTCTAGCCTTGCCTTTAAGAAAATGTATTAGATGGTAAGAGAAATATAATAGCTGCCATGAAATATTCTTAACATTATTATTTTATGGTATTTATAATTTCCTTTTCAGGCTTATAGATTTTATGAGCTATTTTGTTATTTTCCCTTTTTTTTTTTACTTTTTTTTTTATTGAGAAAAGGAAGAAAAAAAAAACAAGTTTCCACCTCCTCCCAGCCTCCCATTTCCCTCCCCCTCCTCCCATCCTTCTCCCCCTCCTCCCACTCCTCTCCCCCTCCCTCTCTAGTCCAAAGAGCAGTCAGGGTTCCCTGCCCTGTGGTAAGTCCTAGGTCCTCCCCCCTCTGTCTATATCTAGCTGGCTTTGTGGGAGCCTAGCCAGGTTGGATGTTATTTTCCTTTTTTATATGGTCCAGATTCCATAAGAGTCGATCTTATCATACTAATTTTGTTCTGTATTTGTTCTACATTTAAGAATGGATATATTTCCAGTTTACTTATTGTGAAGAATTTAAAGCATTTTAAGTTCAGCCTGTAATTACCTGCCTTTGTAAGAATGGTAACTAAGGAGGAATAGGTGAAGATAAGCATTTTTCTAATGCATTACAGCTTGGTAGTATGTTTTCTGGGTTTTTTTTTTCTTCATTTTTTTTCCTTTTAATTGTAGTGGGAAGACCCACTTTTATTTTATTTTATTTTTTTTGGAGACAGGATCTTTCTACATAGTTCCTGGAACTTGGTGTTTGTATTTTAATAAATAAAACTTGCCTGAGGATCAGAAAAGTAAAACAGCCATATTGGCCAGCCTTAGAGACCAGGCAGCAATGACACACACCTTTAATCCTATTAGCCATACTAGTTTGTCATAGAAACCAGGTGGTATTGGTGCCCTCTGATAACTTAAAATTATGACACCCTTAATTACAGCTAGAGAAGCTTATAAGATGGAAGAGGCAGCTCTTAGTCTCAGTCTGATTCTGAGGTGTCCTGGAGGCAAGAATCACTATTTTCAGACTGAGGTGGAGGTAAAAGCCAGTGACTGGCTGCTTTGCTTTTCTGATCTTTAAGGTGAACCCCAATGTCTGTCTCTGAGGTTTTTATGAATTGTGCTTTATTTGGGCGCTCAACATGGGGCTTAAACCCACGACCCTGAGATTCCAGTCTCATGCTCTACTGATTGAGCTAGAACTGTCCTTCTGGATGCAATGGGAGCATGTCCAAAGATCTTTCCCTTTGCATGATTTGAGGTCTTAGATGATCTCAGTGATGGTCTGTAGAATATTTATAGCCTTTCTTTTCACTGGAAGCATTGAGAACTTTGAAGACAGTGGGCTAATGTTTGTGTTTGTTTTCAAAAACTTGTTTTCCTTTAAGAGCATAAGGATTTTTTTTAAGTAAATTTTGTTTATTGACTCATTTTTGTGAGTGGAGGGTGTTGGGTTGCTGAGGTTAGCACATGAAAGTTAGAGAATAACTTGCAGTAGTCAATTTTTGTTTTCTGTAATGCGGATTCCAGGGATTGAACTTGGGCCATTAGGCTTGGAGGCAAGTGCTATTAAGTACTGTGAATGACAAATAAGAAGCTCAGTTTGGAGACCCTGTGTAAACCTGTGCATTAATAAGGTAAGTGCTATTGTTCTCCCTTTAACATTGTTGTTCTTTCTCCCCTTAGGGTTTCACAGACAGCCCTCATTACAGTGATCACTTGAATGACAGTCGATTAGGAGCCCATGAAGGCTTGTCTCCAACACCTTTTATGAACTCAAATCTGATAGGTAAGTTTGTGACTCTATGTAAGTGTCTGTGCTCAGAGACCCTTTCTGTTACCATGTCCTACTTAAATATATAAAGTAAAGCTCCCTTGTTGCTAGAGGAATCGAGGTTCTCCTTGCTTACTTCAACTCAAGGAACTAGCATCTGGAATTTGGGGTCTTTCCTTTAGAGCAGTACTAAGAGTGGATAAAGGGAAGTAGCTGTGTTCTCTTAGTTTAGGACATGTCTCTGTGATGTTTTTTTGCCGGTTTTCTGGGCTAGAAAAGCATTCTTTCAAGGACACTTGTGGTTTACTACTGTTTGTTGTATTATAAATATTTATGTATTAGTTAAAAATACGACAGAATAATGACTTCCACAAATTTAACTTACATTGGATCTTTTTTCTTTGGGTACTATTTGATAAGAAATATTTCATTTATACACCATATAGGGTCTGTTTAAGCATGTAGATTCTTATTGAGATATGTAAAAGTTTGTCTGCAAGTGAAGTGAAATTTAAAGGGTGTGATTTCTTACCTACACCTGATCTTTATGTTTTGTCACCACTTTTCTTGTTGATCATCCTTTCTGTCTCTTCCTGTCACATGCAGAGTACTTTCTTAAGTGATAATTTGAATTTGTCCAGTTTGTTTTATGCCGGTCAAACCTCTTGGTTTGGTTATCACTCCTTTTTAAAAGGCAGTATTTAACCTTCTTAGAAAAACTGTTTGAAAAAAAAAAAAAATCTATGCCTTGTAACAGCATTTTTTTTTTTGGTCTTGTTTATGTTGTAGCTGAACACATTCTGAGGGCTTTATGTAATCTCTTGTATTAACTGTCATTGACATCAGATAAATACACATGGTTTGTGTGATGGACATTGATTTCACCATTCTACCTCTAAAGGGTTGGTTACACTGTGATCTTAGAATTGACCTTTTGCGTCACAATCATGTAAATCTAAGTAGGTTACTCCATCCAAAGTGCTGGTGGTCTGTAGATGCTTTGTAAGGGATCTTGCTGTGTGCAGTCTTTGTTTTCTCTTCTTCTCTAGTTTTGAGGAGTGAGAGTCTGATATTCTAGTGTGAATTTTGCCTATGGCAACTGATAGTCTAAAGCCAGAATCATTGAGTGGGACACAAGACCTGTATAAGCAGTAAAACGTGTGCTGAAAACCACTGGCTTTCAACATAAGTGCAAATAAAAGTTATGCTGGTAAGTGGGTTACTCCAGGTAAAACCCATAATTACATTTAAAATAAAACAATAGTTTCATCAAGAAAATTTCTACATTTTTGTTTTAATTTTCTGTTGAATCTTTCATCAAGGTAAAATGTTACTCAGTTTAAAAATTGCTTTTTTATTTTAATTTTTCCCTCAAGCAGCTTTTATTTATACTGTGTGTAACAGGGCAAGTGAAAATTGATGTTAACTGAGGCTGTCATTTTGTTTTTATTATTGTTATTATTATTATTACAAATTTTCCCCTCCTCCCATTTCCCTCCTCCTCCCCCCATTCCCCTTGCCCCATATTCCCCCTCCCCCTCCCCCTCCAGTCCAAAGAGCAGTCAGGGTTCCCTTCCCTGTGGGAAGTCCAATGTCCTCCCCACTCCATCCAGGTCTAGGAAGGTGAACATCCAAACAGGCTAGGTTCAAAACCCAGTGCCATTGTCCTTGGCTTCTCAGTCAGCCCTCCATGTCAGCCATGTTTAGAGAGTCCGGTTTGATCACCTGCTCCATCAGTCCCAGTCCAGCTGGCCTTGGTGAGTTCCCATTAGATGGGCTCCACTGTCACAGTGGATGGGCGCACCCTTCGTGGCCCTGACTTCCTTGCTTATGTTCTCTCTCCTTCTGCTCCTCATTTGGACCTTGGGAGCTCAGTCCAGTGCTCCATTGTGGGTCTCTGTCTCTATCTCCATCCATCACCAGATGAAGAAGGTTCTATGGTGATATGCAAGATATTCATATATCTGAATATATATATATATATATATATATATTCATATATCTGAATATATCTGCATATATATGCAAGTATAGGGCCAGTTCAGGCGCCCTCTCCTCAGCTGCTCAAGGAACAAGCTGGGGACATCTCCTTGGACACCTGGGAACCCCTCCAGAGTCAAGTCTCTTGCCAACTCTCAAATGGCTCCCTTAATTAAGTTATATACTTCCCTGCCCCCATATCCACTCCTCCTTCATCCCAACTGTCCCATTCCCCCAAGCTCTCCCCATCCTCTCCTTCTCACTTCTCTCTCTCCATCTCCCCTTACCCCCGTCCCACCCCTACCCCCAAGCTCTCAATTTTTGCCTGGAAATCTTGTCTACTTCCAATATCCAGGAGGATAACTTACATGTGTTTTTGCGGGGGGGGGGGGGGGGTTCGTCTTCCTATTTAGCTTCTCTGGGATCATGAATTATAGGCTCAGTGTCCTTTATTTATGGCTAGAATCCACTAATGAGTGAGTACATACCATATTCATCTTTTTGGGTCTGGGTTACCTCACTCAGGATAGTGTTCTCTATTTCCATCCATTTGCATGCAAAATTTAAGATGTGATTGTTTTTTACCGCTGAGTAGTACTCTAATGCGTATATATTCCACACTTTCTTTATCCATTCTTCCATTGAGGGGCATCTAGATTGTTTCCAGGTTCTGGCAATTACAAATAATGCTGCTATGAACATAGTTGAACAAATGTTTTTGTAGTATGATAGGGCATTTCTTGGGTATATTAATTCATGGTCCCTCTAGAATGTATTCTTACCTTCAGACTTGCCTATAGAGATGGTGCACACCTCGTGGAATTACATCTTTAGCACAGTTTTCGGCCAAGGTAACTGTTAAAATTGTGAGAGACAAATGAAGTCTCTAGTAGATATATGTTTCAGTCACTTCTGAGCAGCTGTTAACTAAAAAATATTCCCATAATTCAGTTTGAGCTTATATTTCCTCATTTGTGGCCTCTACGAACATACACTTACTGGTTTTTCCCCCCCCCCAAAATTGGAGAATTATTAGAATACCTTTAAAGTTTATCCCTGTTTGGTAAAATCTATATCTAAAGTAAGACTTGTAAACAGACTGATCTTTTTCACTATTCAAATAGGAAAAGAATTTATTGAACTACCTAGTATAATAGTGAGTCCAGTGCAGTAGTTCAGATCATGTTATTCACTATATCTTAAGTGCCTAATTTTAAAGTATTCTTTTTATATTTAAAGGAGAAGGGGAGAAATAATTCTTCAGTCATTAATTAGGATTTGCCAGCCATTGGCATTGTCCGATTTACCCCTCTTTACCATATTCCCCCCCAGTAAAATGATTAGATGAGTACCTCAGTATGGCATCTTAAAAAAGTGATGTACATAGTAGTACTTGTTTTGAATATGAACGTTTCTTAAATTAGTCAGTTTCATAGAGCAGCAGGAAATTCAGCAAGCTGTGATATGCAGTAAATGAACCGTCAAGACACCCAGATATATTGAATGATCATACTAGATGAATTACAAGGGAGTCTCTTTTGCACATGTGTAATAGTGTAGGAGAGTTTGAGGTTTTTGCCTAACAAGCGTTGGTAATGATTTGATAATGAATAATTTACCACAGAAAACAGATTTCTATATTCATTTAGGTATTTTGAAGTATTTTATGTAGGAAGTAAAGCTATGTCAGTGTATCTTTTTATGAATTTCAGAATTATCCTCTTGATTCGTCAGTGTGCAGTAGTGGAATACTTTTTTTTTTTTTTTTTTTTTTTTTTTGGTTTTTCGAGACAGGGTTTCTCTGTGGTTTTGGAGCCTGTCCTGGAACTAGCTCTTGTAGACCAGGCTGGTCTCGAACTCACAGAGATCCGCCTGCCTCTGCCTCCCAAGTACTGGGATTAAAGGCGTGCGCCACCATCGCCCGGCTGGAATACTTTTCTTATGTTTCAAGATAAATGACTATATTCTTTTGGCACATAAGCAATTAGTAGCAAACAGTTCTGCTAAAGCTGTGAACAGAGTCTTGACCATAGCCTTGAGTTGCAGTGATATCATCATACGGTTTTGTCTATTGTAGTATTCAAAGCTTTGGCTTATCATTTCACTCTTGATTCCCTCAATAATTTTCATACAGTTTGTTTTCTGGGGCTAGAAGGAGAACTCAGCAGTAAATTGCAGAGCACCTGAGTTTGGTTCCTGTCATCCATATAGCAGCTCCAGGGGAGCTAACAAACTGCTTTCTCTGGCCTCTGGTCCACATATATGTAGCCAAAACATTCACTCACGTAAAGAACTCTTTAAAAACCCAATCTTGAAAAACAAAAAACAGAAAAAAAGCAGTTGTTTTATTGATTGGTAATATTTTGGGTGAAGAGAGCACCAATGAATTGAACTGAGACGTGGATTATTCCTCAGGTGATGTGGAATGAATATCTGCAGCCCTTTCTTTCTTTCTTTTTTTTTTTTTTTTTTTCGGTTTTTCGAGACAGGGTTTCTCTGTAGCTTTTGGTACCTGTCCCGGAACTAGCTCTTGTAGACCAGGCTGGCCTCGAACTCCCAGAGATCCGCCTGCCTCTGCCTCCCGAGTGCTGGGATTAAAGGCGTGCGCCACCACCGCCCGGCCTGCAGCCCTTTCTTTTCCTCCATGCTCACTTTGCTCATTTAAGAGGACATGTACAAGTGCGTCATAAACAGAAGACAAAGCTTCAGGTCATTTTGAATTTTTCTTTTTTCTAAGACACTTATTTCTCTTCCTCTAGAATTGCTTTGTTAGTATTCTGTGGAAGAGTGACATTAAAATTTGGTAGAATAGGGGCACTGGAGAGTTGAAAACTAGGACCTGTAATCAGCCTTTATGTTTCAGTTAGGGTTTGCTTGGGTTCTTGGATGTATTCAGTAGCTCTTGGGTTTTAAGATTCCATAATGTTGTCCTGGAAAAGACTGAAATTAGCATTATAATTTCTATCTTGCAAATGCTGAAACAGAGTTAGAGGGAAATTACATGTATATTTGAAGCCACAAAGCCAGTAAATGGC